AAAAAAAAAAAAAAAAGCCTCATGGTCATGGCCGGGCGCCAGTGATTCACACCTGTAATACGAGCTACTCAGGAGGCTGAGATCTGAGGATCACAGTTTGAAACCAGCCAAGGGCAGAAAAATCCAAGAGACTTATCTCCAATAAACTGCTCAGAAAAAGCCAGAAGTGGCACTGTGGCTCAAGTGATAGTGTTAGCTTTGAGCACAAAGAGGCTCAGGCCCTGGAGTCAAGAGACAGGAATGCCGCCTGCCCTGCCCTGCCCTGCCCTCCCCTCCCCCCCCAAAAAAAAAAAGTATCATGGACTATTCTGCCCAGGCTAGCTTTGAACCACAACCTTCAGACCTCAGTGTCCTTAGTAGCTAGGATTACAGGTATGAGCCACAGGCACCAAGCCTATATACACCCCCCCGCCCCGGGGGCAGAAAAGTGCTTATGTGGGGACAACACACTGCCTGCCCTGCACAAGCTGGAGGCTTGTGGAGAGAGAAGGGAAGAAAGAGGTACATACATTTTCTTAATGCTTATAAATTATCAAATTAATAATCACTGGACTCATTTCTACAACAGCATTTTTACAAAATTTCTGATCTTGGAATATTCCACATGTGGATCTAGGTGGTGGTTATGAGTATATACATGTGTAAGAATGTATCAAGTAACATACCTGAAATTAGTATTCTTATTTATATGCATATGCTTCAGTTCAATTCTAGTTGTTACTCATAAACTTAGATTATATATTAATGTCATACCAATAGTAAGACTAGATACCAACTGCAGAAAAGGGAGTGCAATGAATCTATTTACTTTATCTGATTTGATGACCTACCTGCCCCCCAGTGTTTTGGTGGGTCACAGGGCTTGAACTCAGGGCCTGGGCTCTTCTCTGAGCTTTTTTTGGTTGGTTGTGGGGCTTGAACCCTGGGCCCAGGAGTTGTCCCTCAGCTCTTCAGCTCAAGGTGAGCGCTCTAGCACTTGAGCCACAGCGCTACTTCTGTTTTTTTGGTGGTTTATTGGCGATAAGAGTCTCATGGACTTTCCTGCCTGGGCTGGCTTTGAACCATGATCCTCAGATCTCAGCCTCCTGAGTAGCTAGGATTATAGGCGTGATCCATTGGCACCTGGCTTCTCTGAGCTTTTTTGCTCAAGTCTAGTGGCTCTACCACTTTGAGCCCTAAGAGCCACTTTCAGTTTCTTGGCAGTTAATTGGAAATAAGAGTCTTTTGGACTTTCCTGCCACCGCTGGCTTTGAATCACAATCTTTAGATCTCAAACTTGAGTAGCTAGAATTATAGGTGTAAGCAACCAGCACCCAGCCCCACTTTTTCTTTTGGTAGTAAAGTAACACAAAATATACTCTAGCACTGCTGCTGGTGGAGGAAAAAAATAAAGACTATTTCTAAAACATATTCTTCTAATCCTTTTCTGTTATCTTATTCCTATATGTTTAAACCATTAAGAAAACACAAAAATTCCAAAACTAGTTTAAAACCCCAAGATGAGTGCCAGAACAAATCTGAAGGTTCAGATAAAGGGCCTGGGAAGGTGGCTCAGTGGTAGAGCGCTTGCCTTGCATGCCAGAGGCCCTGGGTTCGATTCCTCAGCACCACATAAGCAAAAAGAAAAAAGCCCGAAGTGGTGCTGTGGCTCAAGTGGTAGAGCACTAGCCTTGAGCTGAAGAGCTGAGGGATAGCACCCAGGCCCAGAGTTCAGGCCCCACGACCGGACCCCGGCAAAAAAAAAAAAGGGGGGGGGGCCCATTTTAGTAGTAACTAGAGTTCTCTAATTCAGAAACTGTTGAAGTGGCAATAAGGTATGCCACATTAGGCTATATTGTGTGAAATGAAGAAAGCAAATCCAGAATTAGGAAGGAAACAGTATAAATAAAATACTTACCAGTGCAAACAAGATTGCGGCATAAGCCATTTCGGAAATCATGAAATACACGATTTCGATGTTCCTGTGGGGGACGGGAGAAGCACTCCATTAATTAACATTTTTCATCTTTTTCTCCTATCCGATCAGTATTTCATAACCCTGATTAAGTCTATGACAGTTTTTTTTTTTTTTTTAAATATCAGTCATAGGACTTTAACAACTCAGGGCCCACATGCTATCCCTAGAGCTTTTGTGCTTATGACTAGTGCTCTACCATCTGAGCTACAGCTCCACTTCTAGCTTTTTGGTGGTTTACTGCAGATCAGAGTCTTGCAGACTTTCCTGCCCAGACTGGCTTTGAACCACAATCCTCAGATCTCAACCTTCTTAGTAGCTAGGATTATGGGTATGAGCCACTAGTAACCGACTTCAAGAGCATTTTTTTGGGGGGGGGGGCGGGGGGAGATGGTGGGACCTGAACTCTGGGCCTGGGCCCTGTCCCTCAATTTTTCAGCTCAAGGCTAGCGCTCTACCACTGGAGCTACAGCGCCATTTCCCGCTTTGTCTGTTTATGTGGTGCTGAGGAATCGAACCCAGGACCTCATGCATGCAAGGCAAGCACTCTACCACTGAGCCACCTTCCCAGCCCTCAAGAGCTTTTCTATAGTAAACGTTCTGTATCTATCTATACACTCCACGAGTATCTAACCGAACACTTGAAATTTGGTTAGCCTTATTTCATTTTAACTGATTTACATTGCTATTTGTGGCTACTGTTGTTTTTTTAATTGGTCACGGGGCTTGAACTCAGGAACTGAATGCTGTCCCTGAGCTCTTCAGCTCAAAGCTAGTTCTCTACCACTTGAGCAACAGTGCCATTTCCAGTTTTCTGGTGGTTAAGTGGAGATAAAAGTCTCAAGGATTTCCTTGCCCAGGTTGGCTTTGAACTGCGATCCTCAGATTTCAGCTCCTGAGTAGCTAGGATCACAGGCGTGAGACACTGGTGCCCCGCAGCTACTGGTTATTATAATAAACAGTATACACTTAAGAGATTATCTTACATATTTCACTTGTAAACTCAATACTCCTAACTACCTTATAAGATATGAATATGTACTATAAACCCATTTTTAGAGAATTCAACCTCAGAGAGTTAGCTAAAAGGAATAATCTTTTTTTTTTGTTGTTGGTCGTGGGGCTTGAACTCTGGGCCTGGGCGCTGTCCCTCAGCTCTTCAGCTCAAGGCGAGTGCTCTACCACTTGAGCTACAGCGCCACTTCCGGTTTTCTGGTGGTTTCCTGGAGATAGGAGTCCCACGGTCTCTCCTGCCCGGGCTGGCTTTGAACCTCGATCCTCAGATCTCAGCCTCCTGAGTAGCTAGGATTACAGGTGTGAGCCACCAGCGCCCGGCAAAAGGAATAATCTTATAGTTACTGAAAATAGTACACAATAGTAGTATATTCCATACCCCTCTCGATTGTAACCAGAGATTGACCCCAAGGCCTTCTCTATCACCAAGGTATACCAAGAATAATTTATCCTTAAACACAGACATCTGGAAGGGCACCAAAAGCAAGCAAAATCCAAGAAATATTTAAGGAAACATTTTTGGTTAAATCTGTGAAAGCTCTACTTTTACACTTACCTGCCTCATTTTAGCATGGATATAGAAGCAAGAATAACCCAGCTGAGAAATCTTCTTGGCTAGCAATTCAACTCGCTGAGAGGAGTTGCAGAAAATGATCGACTGGTTTATCTGAAGCTAAGCACAGGAAAAAATACATTTGAGAAGGAAAAATAACACCTTCATTTGTTTTGTCAAATCTTGAAGGTAGTAGCTGGCCAACAGCATGTGTTAAAATTCAGAATGTTATGATGTAAGAGATAGAGTTGTAAAAACTACACATTTTGTTCTCCAATAGTTGTAGATAATAGTTTATGTTTTCGCAGTAGAGTATGTGTTAGGGTCACATATTTGCCAACAAGAGTGAAATAGTTGATTCTTTCACATCTCATGAAACAGGGCCTGGGAAGGTGGCTCAGTGGTAGAGTGCTTGTCTTGCATGCATGAGGCCCTGGGTTCGATTCCTTAGCACCCATAAGCAAAAAGAAAAAAGCTAGAAGTGGCGCTGTGGCTCAAGTGGTAGAGCGCTAGCCTTGAGCTGAAGAGTTGAGGGTCAGCATCCAGGCCTAGAGTTCAGGCCCCACGACCGGACCCCCCCCCAAAAAAAAAAATCACATTTCATGGAATAGCAAATACAGTACTGAAAATACAGATTAGGTTACTGTGAGCCTCTGGTCAGAGCTTTTTCCATGAACAGATCAATGCATATACATTTCTAAGGACCTCTTATTTAATACATCTGTAGCCATGCTTGTCAAAAGCTTATCAACACATTTTCTCTTTAAGGTTGTCTTCTTGTGCTTAGGAGGACTAGGTAACATTTAGCACAATAAAATAACAAAAGCACAAAAAGGGAGAAAATATGGTATTAAGACTGAAAAAAGGTCATGAGAGGTAAAAAAAAGAAGTCAGAATGTCAACTTTTTTGTCCTCAACTAGGAATGTACACCTCAAGTGAGTCAAATTTTTTTACAATATCCACAAAATGACTGTAAAAGTGCACAGAGTACTGATTTGGGTGTTACAATTTTAACAACTAGGCCAATGTACAAGTGCAATACCTGTAAATAGCAAGGATCAAATTATTCTAGAATAAAATTAAAGTACAGCTATCAATCAGAGAGTTTCAACTACAGATCAACTGCAAACTTCTAGGAAACACTTTCTTTTCCTTTTTCTGCTGGGTCTGGGGCTTGAACTTGGGGCCTGAGAGCTGTCCCTGAGCTGCCTTTTTTTTTTTTTTGGCCAGTCCTGGGGCTTGACTTGAGGGCCTGGGCACTATTCCTAAGTTTCTTTTGCTCAAGGCTATCACACTACCACCTAAACCACAGTGCTACTTCGGGCTTTTTTCTGAGTAGTTTACTGGAGATAAGAGTCTCACAGACCTCTCTGAGCTTTTGCTCTAGGCTAATGTTCTACCATTTGAAACATAGTTCCACTTTCAGATTTTTCTGTGATTAATTGTAGAGGTTAAGAGTCTCTTGGACTTTCCTGCCCAGGCTGGCTTTGAACTGCAATCCTCAGATCTCAGCCTCCTGAGTAGCTAGGATTGAAAGCATGAGCCACCAGCACCAGCAAGGACTTTTTTCTTAACAGTAAAGATGCTGTTAAGACTCTCTTATTTTACTAGGACTGAGTGATGGGTAATATTTACAGCAGAATCCTCCTACTTACCCTGGAGAAGAGTGTGTTGAGGCAGTGTACTTTTTGGCGCTCAGTTACATAAGCATAGTACTGGGTTACTCCCTTCAGAGTCAGTTCCTCCATCAGGTTAATCTCATAGGGTTTCTGCAAATGGGAATTCTACCAAAAACAAAAAGTCATAAATGATACCAGTTCTCCTCCTAAAATTCAAAATACGTGTATTTCTGTCTTTTGTTCTAAGTGATGTGCCTCTCTTCAAACCAAGTACATAGAAAAGAAATGAAGTACCATAAAATGGGAGGCTTCAGATTGAAAAGTGTGTACGAGTTAGTATTTTGTTTTCTATGTGAAAAAAAGTTGTGACCAACTACCCACCATCACTGAAGCATCTTAAACTGACATCAAATACTAAAGTAGGAAACAAAAAATTTTAAGTATGGGGCTGGGAAGGTGGCTCAGTGGTAGAGCACTTGCCTTGCATGCCTGAGGCCTTGGGTTCGATTCCTCAGCACCACATAAGCAAAAAGAAAAAAGCCGGCTCAAGTGGTAGAGCATTAGCCTTGAGCTGAAGAGTTAAGGGACAGCGCCCAAGCCCAGAGTTCAGGCCCCATGACCTGACCCAAAAAATAAATAAATAAATAAGCATTATAGCTTACGATGAATCTGTAGGCCTGGCACTGGTGGCTCACACCTGGAATCCTAGCTACTTGGGAGGCTGAGATCTAAGGACTGTGGTTCAAAGCCAGTCCAGACAGTAAAGTCAGTGAGACTCATCTCCAATTAAAGAAAACCAGAAGTGGCATTGTGACCCAAGTGGTAAAGTGCTACCCTTGTGTGAAAAAGCTCAGGGTCAGAGCCCAGACCCTGAGTGTACCAATTTTAACTTGTAATTGAAAAAAGGGCACAAAACACATAATCCAAAATGAGATTATAGGCAAAAGCCCACAAGAACAGAACAGCACTAATTCTAAGTACAGATTTATACTTACCATAAACTTTTGTACACTAAGAGGGAAAGTAGCAGAATAGAGTAAAATCTGCCTGTTTTTAGGTAGCGTGAGAATAATATCCTCCATTATCTGCACAAAATCCTGTGACAGCAATTTATCTGCCTGTAGTACAAAAAACACAATTTTTAAAACCATGAAAAAGAGTCTATGGCTAATATATAAAGGACAAAGCATAATCTGATAAAAAAAAAAAAAAACCACCCGCATCAAGAAAAACTCCTAAGGACTCAGCAGAGGAAATATAATCCCTATCATCTAAGGTAAAGTTAAAAGCTCACACTCTTATCTACCTACCCCTCCTATATAAATAGATATCAAGCAAGCACCAGTGGCTCAGGTATGTAATCCTAACTACTCGGGAGGCTGAAATCTAAGAATCAAAGTTCAGAGCAGGCTAGGCCAGATAAAGTCTATTAACTCAAATTAACTACTAATAAATCAGAAGTAGAGTGGTGGTAGAGTACTAGCCTTGAGCAAAAAAGCTAAAGGCTGAGATCTAAGGACTGTGGTTCAAAGCCCGTAGTAAAGTCAGTGAGACTCTTTATCTCCAATTAACCATCAGAAAACTGGAAGTGGTGCTGTGACTCAAAGTGGTAAAGTGCTATCCTTAAATAAAAAAGCTCAGGGACAGAGCCCAGGCCCTGAAGGCAAGCAAGCTTCAGGCCCTGAGTTCAAAACCAGACCCTGAGGGCTGGGAAGGTGGCTCAGTGGTAGAGTTCTTGCCTTGCATGCATGAGGCCCTGGGTTCAATTCCCCAGCACCACATAAGTAAAAAGAAAAAAGTTGGAGGTGGCGCTGTGGCTCAAGTGGTAGAGCACTAGCCTTGAGCTGAAGAGCTGAGGGGCAGCGCCCAGGCCCCACAACCGGGCCCAAAAAAACAGACAGACCCTGAGGTTCAAGCCCCAATACTGGCACCAAAAACCAAACTAAACCAAAAAACCCTAGACTGATAAAATCCTTGCCCCATAACACAATACAAATGGTTCTTATTAAAGAGGTAATACAATATAATGGGTAAAAATTAACAGGCTATGGAGTCTTAACTGTTAAAATATTGCCTTTTATTCATTAACTGTGTTGGGATGTTAACCACTGTATTCCTATTTCTAGAACTGTAAAACTAAGTACCTATACAACATAGTAACTACTTTATAATATACCCACACCTTAGGTTATTAGTAAAAATTAACTAATAAAGCATGTTAATAAATGTTACCTTTCATGAGGTAGATTATTTCAAAGATTAGTAAAAAATGATCAATGAATTAAATTATCTAAATACAAGCCAAACCAGGAAATAACTATGTCCAACTATTAACACTTATTTTCCATGAATAAAACATTACTAGATCCCAGAGTTGGATAACACAGACTAAAAAAAAAAAAATGATACTAAGTAATACAAAATTAGGAATGGGACATTGTTTTAAAAACCACACCACTAAATAGACTTCAAATTGACTTGGTTCTGATGTTATTTAGTAACTCCTTTTTTAAAAGGTAAGATCTAGCCAGGCACAGGTGGCTCATGCCTATAACCTTAGCTTATCAGGAGGCTGATATCTGAGAATGGCAGTTCAAAGCCAGCCCAGGCAGGAGAGTTTCTGAGACACTCACTGGCCAAGTGCTAACCAAACAAGCTTTAGGCCCTGAGTTTAAAACCTAAATATTGGGCTGGGAAAGTGGCTCAGTGGTAGAGTGCTTGCCTTGCATACATGAGGCCCTGGGTTCGATTCCTCAGCACCACATAAGCAAAAAAAAAAAAAAAAACCCGAAGTGGCGCTGTGGCTCAAGTGGTAGAGTGCTAGCCTTGAGCTGAAGAGCTGAGAGACAGCGCCCAGGCCCAGAGTTCAGGCCCCACAACCAGACCCCCCCCAAAAAAAACTAAAAAACACCCTAAATATTGGTAGAAAAAGAAAATTTTAACTGTCTAGTGCTTATTAGGAGGTTATAAACATGAACAACTTTTGCTGTCTTCACTGAAAACAGTAAGCAACAAGCATACAATAGTGTAGAACATTATCTTTCCAAATGAAGAGACATTACCTCATCCAATACTATCATCTGGACATGATCAACCTTCGCTACTCCTTTCTTGATAAGATCCAGGATTCTGCCAGGGGTAGCAATCACCACATGTACTACACAAGATTTAGAAAACATTCTCATTAATTTTAGCTTGGAAAAAAAAAAAAAAAGACACTGTAAAGGTTTTTGTTTCTTTCACTGTAAATACTACTGTAAAGATAGAAATGACAATAGGCACCCAGGTTTCTGACATAGAAGGAAGGCATACCTTCAGCCAACTTCATAAGGATAAAACAAAGTATAAAAAACAACAAAACCCAAATCTGCATACAAAGTGTATCAATTAAGGTAACCACATGACAATTTTATGTAAGATTCCAAGTCAAACTTATCTAAAACCATGCTGAAGTAAGTGACTGTATATACAACTTTATATTTACCAAATTAACTTTCTAAACAAGATTCTTTTTTTGTTGTTTTTTCAGTCAGTTGTGGATCTTGAATTTTGGGCCTGGGTGCTGTCCCTCAACTTTTCAGCTCAAGGTGAGCACTCTACCACTTGAGCCACAGCACCACTTCCAGTTTTCTGATGATTAATTGGAGATAAGAGTCTCTTGGACTTTCTTGCCCAGGCTGGCTTTGAACCACAATCCTCAGATCTCAGCCTCCTGATAGCTAGGATTATAGGCACGAGCCACTGGCATCCAGCTGAACAAGATTCTTGGAAGCACACTGCCCAACTGCCCACAACAGCGATTGTTATATGATAGCCTATTTTACAGTCATATGTTGAAAACTAATTCTTTTGCCTTGAAAATTAAAATTTTCATTTTAGTTACTTAAGATATTTGTAGTAGTAGCTTTAACAGCCTACTAATGTATTTTTTTTTCCCATGGACGGAAATAGTCATTCTCATTCTTTTTTCTGCCAGTCCTGGGGCTTGAACTCAGGGCCTGGGCACTGTCTCTGAGCTTCTTTTGCTCAAGGCTAGCACTCTACCACTTGAGCCACAGCGTCACTTCTGGCTTTTTCTGTTTATATGATAATGAGGAATTGAACCCAGTGCTTCCTGCATGCTAGGCAAGCGCTCTACCACTAAGCCACATTCCCAGCCCATTCTCATTCTTTTTTTTTTGGCCAGTCCTGGTGCTTGAACTCAGGGCCTGGGCGCTGTCCTTGAGCTTCTTTTGCTCAAAGCTAGCTCTCTACTACTTGAGACACAGCGCTACTTCTGGCCTTTTCTGCTTATGTGGTGCTGAGGGATGGAATCCAGGGCCTTATAAAAGCAAGGCAAGCACTCTACCACTGAGCCACCTTCCCAATCCTCTTTTTTTTTTTTTTTGGTCGGTAGTGGGGCCTGAACTCTGGGCCTGGGTGCTGTCCCTCAGCTCTTCAACTCAAGGCTAGTGCTCTACCACTTGAGACATGGTGCCACTTTAGGCTTTTTCTGCTTATGTGGTGCTGAGGAATCAAACCCGGGGCCTCATGCATGCAAGGCAAGCACTCTACCACTGAGACTTCCCAGCCCCTCACCCCCATTCTCATGCTTTCTTTTTTGTTGGTCATAGGGCTTGAACTCTGGGACTGGCGCTGTCCCTTAGATTTTCAGCTCAAGGTGAGCGCTCTACCACTTGAGCCACAGCACCACTTCTGGTTTTCTAAGTGGTTTATTGGAGGTAAGAGTCTCAAGGACTTTGAAGCACAATCCTCAGATCTCCTGAGTAGCTAGGATTACAGGTGTGACCCACCAGCACCAGGCTCATTCTTTACCTTTCTACTACAATGTTTTGTTCCCAATTCTTTCTTTGGTGAGGGGGACTGGTGCTGGGTTTAAACTCTGGGCTTGCACTTGCTAGGAAAGCATACTATTGCTAAGCCACAGTATTTTTCACTTTCAGGTTTTTTTTCTTTTTTCTGTGCTGGTACTAGAACTTGAACTCAGTGCCTAAGCACTGTCCCTGAGCTATTCTGCGTAAGGCTAGTGTTCTACTATCTGAGCTATACCTGATTTCAGCTTTCTTTTTGGTGGATAATTGGAGATAAGAGTCTCTAAACTTTCCTGTCTGAGCTGGCTCTTAACAGTAATTCAGTGCTCCTGAATGACTAAGATTATAGACATAAACCTATATTCCTTTTTTTTTTTTTTGGTGGGCCATGGGAAGGAACACTCAGGGCCTGAGCACTGTCTGAACTTTTTCACTTAAGGCTAGCACTTTGAGCCACAGCGCCATTTCTGGTTTTCTGATGGTTAATTGGAGGTAAGAGTCTCATGGCCTTTCCTGCTTGGGCTAGCTTTGAACTGCAATCCTTAGATCTCAGCCTCCTGAATGGCTAGGTTTACAGGTATGGGCCACCAGCACCCAGCTTTTTTTTTTTTGGGGGGGGGGGTGGTGTTCAGGTTTGCATTCAGGGCTTCTCACTTGCTTGACTAATGCCCTCCCACTTGAACCATCCATTCAGACCTATTCCGTAATTTTTTTTTTTTTTTGTCGGTCATGGGGCTTGAACTCTGGGATTGGGCACTGTCCCTCAGCTTTTCAGCTCAAGGTGAGCGCTCTACCACTTGAGCCACAGCACCCACTTCCAGGTTTTTCTGCTTATGTGGTGCTGAGCAATCGAACCCAGGGCCTCAGGCATGCAAGGCAAGCGCTCTACCACTGAGCCATCTTCCCAGACCTCCCCCATAATTCTTTCTTTTGGGTCCGGTAGTGGGACCTGAACTCTGGGCCTGGGCACTGTCCCTCAGCTCTTCAGCTCAAGGCTAGCACTCTACCACTTGAGCCACAGTGCCACTTCCAGCTTTTTTTCTTTTTGCTTATATGGTGCTGAGCAATCGAACCCAGGGCCTCAGGCATGCAAGGCAAGCGCTCTACCACTGAGCCACCTTCCCAGCCCTCCCCCCATAATTCTTAAAAAACAATTATTATAATTTCCAATAGACCAAATGGATAAATTATAGAGACCAATGCTATTACTTAATCATTTCCTACCTGTATCATCAAGCCTCATTATATCATCTCGTAAATTGGTTCCTCCTGTGGTTGCCATCACTTTAGCCCCTCCCATGTGTTTGCTGACCTGGATGCAAATTTGACTGACCTGTAGAGCAAGTTCTCTAGTGGGAACAATCACCATTGCTGGAAAATACCAATAGAGAAAATGGAAGGGGAAAACAGAGAATATATTTTAAAAATTTACGAAGTTATCAAAACACTTTTTCCTTGTAAATTAGATGCTAGGATAAATTGAGAGGCCCACCTATTATAGACCCCATAGATATATTAACACTTTTACAGTCTTAAAGTACATTTGAAAGTAAGAGATTTTTAATTCAACTACCAAAATACCTGCTGCCTAGATTCTCTATGTATCACATGAAAGAGTATTAACTAGAGATTAAGACAGCTGAAACCTCAAGAAAAGCCTTCAAAGTGAAATTTTAATTCTACTAGTTTAGGGTATAACTACAGAATAATTCCAAATTGACTGGAAGGGGAAAAAAGGCAACTTGGCTCCAATTTTGAAGCCAGTACTGGGACTTGGACTCTGGGACTGGGCACTGTCCTTGAGCCCCTTTATGCTCAAGGCTAGCACTCTACTACTTGAGCCACTAAATGCCACTTCTGGCTTTTTCTGATTAGGTTATTGCAGGTAAGAGTCTCTTGTACTTTCCTGCTTCGAACCATGATCCTTAGATCTCAGCCTCCAAGAGTAGCTAGGATTGGTGTGAGCCACTGGTGCCCAGCTATGGGTCCAAATTTTAAACCACCCTTTTTTCACTTTAAACAAATACACAAGAACTTTCCCTCCAACTAACCTTGTATATTGTCCTTCTTCAGGTCTAGCCGTTCAAGTAAGGGAATGAGGTAGGCACCGCTCTTGCCTGTTCCATTTTTTGCTCTAGCTAAGATATCCCTACCAGATAAAGCAATGGGAATGCTCTCCTCCTAGGAGATAAGACAATGAATACTTGTGAATACAAGAGTAGTACACCTACAAATTCTTCTCTAAAATACACTGAAGGGTATGTCCTACATTCGCATTTACATGAATAGTGAAGACTCACATATAAAACCAATACCATTATTAACCATGTTTAACCAAACTGACCGAATACTTTTGGTGTGGTCCTGGGGCTTGAACCCAGGGCCTGACCACTGTCACAAAGCTTTTTTGCTCCAAACTGGTGCTCTACTGCTTGAGCCACATCATCACATCCAGCTTTTTGCTGATTAACTGGAGATAAGTCTTACCCGCCTGAGTTGGTTTTCAAACCCTTAGATCCCTCCTGAGTAGCTAAGATTACATGTGTGAGCCATGGGTTCCAGGCTTTGCCATATTTTAAAGTTCTCCAGCATAATAAAAGCTGTGTATATTTGTGTATGGAAATAAACAACACAGAAGCATCCTCTCTAAAGAGCCACAAGTAGGATCTGAATATACAGATTAAAAACAAAAAGGAGGATGTGGTGCTGAGGCTCAAGTGATAGAGTGCTAGCCTTGAGCTGGAGCTGAGGGACAATGTCCAGGCCCAGAGTTCAAGCCCCACAACCAACAACAACAACGACGAAAAGGAACATTTCCATTAAAAATTGGAAAAATAAAAGCAGATAGAGGTATATGGGTACATGGTATTTTTCAGACTGGCAGGTCAATTTGATCACAGTCAAAGTCTGTCGACTGGGCTAAGACTACAGAGTATTAGAGGATAAACTCCACAAATGTAAAAATCATAGTTTGAAACAGTTTGCCCCCTGCACACAACAGAAATCTGGCATGCACTTAAGCACTATATAAACCTTAGATGTCTGTGTCTTCCAGTAAATTTTTGTATTGAAAAGTGCTCAGTGGGGGTCCTCAATCCTGTCAGTGATCTCAACCTATGGTTACATCACTGAAGGTGACTTCTCATTTTCTTAGTTGACTTTGTCATGAATGTTTTAAACAAGATTTTGATATTTCCTTTTATCTTTGAACACAGTAAAGCATTCCCAACAATTACTGAAAAACTACAGAGACAGAAATTAAAGGGAGATTAGTTATATCTGAGTAAAGGACAGAACATTACTATGTTAATTTTTTTCTTTTACAACTAGCACAACCTGGGGCTGGGAAGGTGGCTCAGTGGTAGAACGCTTGCCTTGCATGCCAAAGGCCCTGGGTTCGATTCCTCAGCACCACATAAGCAAAAAGAAAAAAGCCGAAGTGGCGCTGTGGCTCAAGTGGTAGAGCGCTAGCCTTGAGCTGAAGAGCTGAGGGACAGCACCCAGGCCCAGAGTTCAGGCTCCACGACCGGACCCAAAACAAAACAAAACAAAACAACTAGCGCAACCTGGCTGTAATAAAGACATCAGTCACTTAATGGGCTCTTGGCCCAACAAGGGTATGAGACATACATGTTTCATGTTGAAGTATGTGTATTTGTGAGCCATGGGTCTTGGATTCAGGCCCTGAATACTGTCCCTGAGCTTTTGGGGTCAAGGTTAGCACTCTACCACTTGAGACATCCACTTCTGGCTTTTTGGTGGTTAAGTAAAGGTAAGAGTCTTATGGATTTTCCTGTTTGAGCTGGCTTTGAACCTCAATCCTCAGATCTCAGCTTCTTGAGCAGCTACAACTATAGGCATGAGTCACCAGTGACTGCCTAAGAACTAAAGTTTTATTATTTCTTTAAACACAAACAGTAATTTTTTTTTTTTGGGGTCCGGTCGTGGGGCCTGAACTCTGGGCCTGGGCGCTGTCCCTCAGCTCTTCAGCTCAAGGCTAGCACTCTACCACTTGAGCCACAGCGCCACTTCCAGCTTTTTTTTCTTTTTGCTTATGTGGTGCTGAGGAATCGAACCCAGGGCCTCGAGCATGCAAGGCAAGTGCTCTACCACTGAGCCACCTTCCCAGCCCCACAGTAAATTTTTTTTTTACAAGTTGTGAACTCTCTGACCTGAAGTCAAGTATCAAGTCAAACAATACCTTTCCACATAAAGTTATGTCAGCTAAAAATATACCTTTTCACACGAAATTATGTCAGCTAGGCAAAAATTGCCTTCTAATTATAAAATTTCAGGATTAAATGATGCTATTATACTTCAAAAGCAGAGTCATTATTGGAACCTAAGTGGTTCAGGTTTCATTAAATGGCTCCAAATTTTAAAAAATGAATGGTAGTAACACACAAGTTGCAAGCCAGGTATAGTGGCTCACATCTGTAATCCTAGGTAGGTAGAAGACCACAGGCAGGAAGAACATGGTCTGAGGCTTACCTGGGCAAAAAAATTCCGCCTGAAAAATAACTAAGGCTAACCACTACTACTACTTCTACAGCTGCTACTGCTGCTGCTGCTGCTACTACTACTATGACTGCAAGCCCAAGGCTTAACTTGAAACTGCCCCCATAACCAACTCAGACTTTTAAAGTTCAAACAAATCTAATAGTATTTGATAAAAAGTGTTTGAGGGGCTGGGAAGGTGGCTCAGTGGTAGAGTGCTTGCCTTGCATACATGAGGCCCTGGGTTCGATTCCTCAGCACCACATAAGCAAAAAGAAAAAAGCCAGAAGTGGTGCTGTGGCTCAAGTGGTAGGGCACTAGCCTTGAGCTGAAGAGCTAAGGGACAGTGCTCAGGCCCAGAGTTCAGGCCCCACAACCGGACCAAAAAAACAAACAAACAAAAAAAAGTGTTTGAATTTTAACCCAACTCAGTCATTTTGGAAATCCTTTTTTTTTTTTTTTCAGTTGGTCGTGGGGCTTGAACTCTGGGCCTGGGCACTATACCTGAGCTCTTCAACTCAAGGCTAGCACCCTACCACTTGAGACACAGTGCCACTTCTGGCTTTTTTCTGCTTATGTGGTGCTGAGGAATTGAACCCACGGCCTCATGCATGCGAGGCAAGCACTCTACCACTGAGCCACCTTTCCAGCCCAGAAATCCTTATTTTTGAAAAGACTAAGGCAATTGAAGCTAATGTCCATCATTACATGAGACCTGTAAACTATTCTTTAGTGGTAAGAATGCTCACCTAGCATTCATGCAGCCCAGTGTTTAATACCCAGCCTAGGGGAAAAGAAATTGAGAGAATTATGGTTTGAGGCCAGCCTAGAAAAAAATTCAGGAGACTCTCCATCAAAATGAATGAAAGCTGAGCTCTGTGGCACACTTGTTATCCCAGGTATATATGGGTAGTTAAACAGTATATATGGGTAGTATGACTGTGGGCACAAGCACAAGATTCTATATGAAAAGTCAAGGTAAGTTGTCTTCTCCCAATGACTAAGACCAGGTTCTTTGTTGTTGTTTTGTTTTATCGGTCATGGGGCTTGAACTCTGGGCCTGGGAGCTGTCCCTCAGCTCAAAGTGAGAGTTCTACCACTTGAGCCACAGCGCCACTTCCAGTTTTCTGGTAGTTAACTGGAGATAAGAGTCTCACGGACATCCTGCCTGGGCTTTGAATCGGGATCCTCAGATCTCAGCCTGCTCAGTAGCTAGGATTACAGGTGTGAGCCACTGGCACCTGGTACGTGCGCTATTACTGGGACTTGAGCTCTGGGCCTGGGTGTTCTCTTTTACTTAGCTTTTCCACTTAAGGTTGGAGCCCTACCACTTGAGCCACATTTGTACTTCCAGATTTTTTTTGGTGTTAATTGGACATAAGTTTTTCAGACTTTCCTAACCAGGCTGGCTCTGAACCTCAATCCTCACATCTGTCATGCTTGTAGCTAGAATTACAAGCATGAATATCAGCAGCAGCCAGCTGGGGCTGGCTTTGAACCAGCATCCTCAGATCTCAGCCTCCTGAGTAGCTAGGCTTACAGGCGTGAGCCACTGGCACCCAGCCAGGATAAAACTTTTGAATGAAGTGATACAGTGCAGAATTAGGTTGAATGTGTGATCCATATTGTCAGATTAAAGTCACTGAATTTTATTTCTCCCCCATCTTTAACAATACAGCCTTATGGAAACACAAGGTCAAGCTTTCATACAGTACATATGATAATCTTAAAGATTCACTAGTATTTTGTCCAGTATAATGGGCATTAGTTTAAGCAGAGAATTGATCACATCCATATTAATTTCCCAGAAGATTAGGTATAATGGAGCAAGACAGTTTAAGTCAGATTAAGACATCTATGAAACCTAATAGGAAACTATGGGGTTGCCAGAGATGGGAAAAGAGGATGGAAACTGAAAACTGTTTTACTACTTACTATGTACCAGGCATAATACTAGGTACTTACATACTTACTTGTTTGTTTGTGCCTGCCCTGGGACTTGAACTCAGGGTCAGGGGACTGTTCCTGGGCTTTTTTGTTTAAGGTTAGTGCTCTACCACTTGAGCCACAGTTCCATCCCCAGATTCTTGGTTAAATGGAGATAGGAGTCTCATGATCTTTGTGCCAGTGCTGGCTTCCAACCACAATCCTCAGATCTAAGCCTCCCGAGCAACTAGGATTACAGGCATAAGCCACCAACACCCAACCTTGTTAGAATCTTTTTAGCTCCTCGAAGTATTTATGATTATTATTCTGAGTGATTAACAGAGTGCCAGCCATGAGTGGAAAAAGTTGGAACAAGGGCCTTAAAGACCTGAGGTTCAAGCCCCAGTACTGACACACTCTGAAGGCTAATCCTAACTACTTGGGAGTAAAGACTGAGTAATCGAAGCTCCAAGTCAGTCTAGGTAAGCAAGTTGGCATGCGTAAAATAGGAGGATCACACACAGTCCAGGGCAGGAAACAAGACTACTTCAAAACTAGCCAGTGTGAAAAAAGGCTGGCAGTATGACTTAGGGCTAGAGCCCTTGCTAAACAAGTGCAAGGCCCTGAAGTCCAAAGTTCAGTATTTCAGAGTGAAGAAGAATTAGTCTGCTGAATTTATTTCCTTGTTGATAAAACCATTACTTAAAGAATCCATAGCATACTAAAGAATCCAAAGCATTTATCCTGTACTGTTCCCTGTGCTAAGCAAATGAATTATCTCACTCATTCTTCAACAACAACTGAACTATTACTTCAATTTTATAGGTCAGGAAACCAAGGCTTAGAGAGCTATTTTGAAAAACCAACTTCGGATTTAACCAGGCAGTTCATTAGAACAAATTTACGTAAAGACACAGATTAGCTTAAGTTCATCAAAACATTCTAAAATAAGCACAGGCACTGTGATAAGTATGGCGATACAAGTAGTATAAGAATTTATATACAAAATGTTTCATTCCTCTAGTTAAAATGGCTGATATCAACTGCAACCCTGTAATCTAGATCTTGTCTCTAGGCAATCACTACCTGAGTTCTCTACCCAAAACAGGACCTTTTCTACAAGGTCATCCACCCTTCTCTAATAGCTATTAGACACCCAATTCTAAGTAGAAAGGTACCCACCATATTATGTTGAAATTATTCATATAATGAATTGCCTTTTTTACCAGACTGTGAGACAGGAACTTTACCTGTCTTGCTCATCACATAATCTCCAGTATTTAACACTAAGACATTCAATGTTTATTCATATTTAGGAATCTCAAAGCCTTTGATTCTTTTGCTCAAGGCTAGCACTCTACCACTTGAGCCACAGCACCACTACTGGCTTTTTTTTCCCCGGCAGTCATGAGGCTTGAATTCTGGGATTGGGTGCTGTCCCTGCACTCTTGAGCTCAAGGTGAGCACTCTACCACTTGAGGATTACAGGTGTGAGACACGAGCACCAGGCCTGGCTTTTTCTAAATGTGGTACTGAGGAATGGAACCCAGGGCTTCATGCATGCAAGGCAAGCGCTCCACCACTGAGCCACCTTCCCAGCCCTCTCACAGCATTTGTCCTTAGCACAACATAGACTAGTAAATGTATAATGTACTTATCTATGTACATATCTATGCACTTCCCTGTTCTTTTCTCAGTCCCCACTAAATAGAATCAGGGCTCCTTGGAATCGAAGGGAGGTGTATTTAAAGTAGAAAATAATTTTGGCATTATGTTATACCAAAAACTAAAGAAGTAGACCTTGAGCCGGGCGCCAGTGTCCCACGCCTGTAATCCTAGCTACTCAGGAGGCTGAGATCTGAGGATCACGGTTCAAAGCCAGCCCGGGCAGGAAAGTCCATCAGACTCTTATTTCCAATAAACCACTAGAAAACTGGAAGTAGTGCTGTGGCTCAAGCAGTAGAGCGTTTGCCTTGAGCTGAAGAGCACAGGGACAGCGCTCAGACCGAGTTCAAGCCCCATGACTGACCAAAAAAAAAGTAGACCTTGGGTTATGGCTCAGGTCAGAGTGCCTGCACAGCAAAGTGCAAGGTCTGAGTTCAAACTCTAGTACTGCCAAAATAAATAACAATAAAGCACCCCAAAAAATGAAGGGAGTCTACCACAACACAGGAACTAATTTGAAGGAGACTTAAAGTGGCCAAATCTGGAATAATTTGAGCACTGAGGTATCACAAAAATAGAAATTCATGGGGGAGGGGGAGAGGATGGGAAGGGGAAACAAAGGAGGAGGCTACAATGCTTGATAAGAAATGTACTCATTGGGTCTGGGAAGGTGGCTCAGTGGTAGAGCGCTTGCCTTGCATGCCAGAGGGCCTGGGTTCGATTTTTCAGCACCACATAAGCAAAAAGAAAAAAGCCGGAAGTGGCGCTGTGGCTCAAGTGGTAGAGCGCTAGCCTTGAGCTGAAGAGCTGAGGGACAGTGCCCAGGCCCAGAGTTCAGGTCCCACTACCGGACCCAAAAGAAAGAATTATGGGGGAGGTCTGGGAAGATGGCTCAGTGGTAGAGCGCTTGCCTTGCATGCCTGAGGCCCTGGGTTCGATTCCTCAGCACCACATAAGCAAAAAAATGAAAAAAAGCCGGAAGTGGCGCTATGACTCAAGTGGTAGAGCGCTAGCCTTGAGCTGAAGAGCTGAGGGACAGCGCCCAGGCCCAGAGTTCAGGCCCCATTACCGGACCCAAAAAAAAAAACAAGGAAAAGAAAATTTGTCTAGGATAAGCCAGGCACTGTGGCTCACAGCTGTAATCCTAACTACTTAGGCATCTGAGAGGATACCTTCAAAGCTATCGAGGCAGGAAAGTCCCTCAGACTCTTATCTACAATAAACTACTTAGAAAAAGCCAAGGTGTAGAGTATTAGCCTTGAGCACAAAGAAGCTCAGGCCCTGAGTTCAAGCCCCAGGATTGGCAAAAGAAAAAAGAAAATCTGTCTAAGAACTACAAAATCTTATTTTTGGGGTCCGGTCGTGGGGCCTGAACTCTGGGCTTGGGCACTGTCCCTCAGCTCTTCAGCTCAAAGCAAGAGCTCTACCACTTGAGCCACAGCACAACTTCCTGTTTTCCAGTGCTTTATTGGTATAAGAGTCTTAAGGACTTTCCTTCCCAGGCTGGCTTTGAAATGTGATCCTCTGGGGCTGGGAAGGTGGCTCAGTGGTAGAGCACTTGCCTTGCATGCTCGAGGCCCTGGGTTCGATTCCTCAGCACCACATAAGAAAAAAAGCCGGAAGTTGTGCTGTGGCTCAAGTGGTAGAGTGCTAGCCTTGAGCTGAAAAGCTGAGGGACAGCGCCCAGGCCCAGAGTTCAGGCCCCACGACTGGACCCCCCTCCCCCCCCAAAAAAAAGAAATGTGGTCTTCTGATCCTCAGATCCTGAGTAGCTAGGATTACAGGCGTAGGATTACAGGCGTGAGCCACCGGCGCTAAGCACCAACATACAATTTTTTACACACTTAAGATAGACATGTTGAACTGAAACCCTTTCATGCAACTACTTTAAAATAAGTTAAAGAAAAAAGTAGGATGCAAATGTGGCTTAGTGGTAGAGTGCTTGTCTAGCATATAAGATGCCCTCAGTACCACAGAAAAAGCCAGAAGTAGTGCTGTGGCTCAAGTGGTAGAGCACTAGCCTTGAGCACAGAGAAGCTCAGGGACTGAGTCCAGGCCCTGAGTTCAAGTGCCATGACTGGCAAAAAAAAAAAAAAAAAGTAAAATATTAAACACATACAGGTTGGAAAAGAGGATAGCTACATAGGAAGACATTATCCAAAAGCAGCAAGCAAGCAAAAAAGTGGAACGATGTCTATCATTACTATGACAGATTGCTACACATTATTACATTACTTCCCATTTTCTACTTGAATTCTACAACCAACTCACCGAAGTTTTGATTCTTAGATCCTTTGGAGGGAGTTTTAAAGTCTTTTTCCAGTCATCACCAGGTCTAGAGAGAATACAGTAAACAAAATATCAAATTTCCTACTTAACATGATTCATCCTCAATATAATTAAGTTCTTTTTTTTTTTTTTGGGTCCGGTCGTGGGGCCTGAACTCTGGGCCTGGGTGCTATCCCTCAGCTCTTCAGCTCAAGGCTAGCGCTCCACCACTTGAGCCACAGCACCACTTCCGGCTTTTTTCCTTTTGCTTATGTAGTGCTGAGGAATCGAACCCAGGGCCTCAGGCATGCAAGGCAAGCGCTCTACCACTGAGCCAACTTCCCAGCCCCTATAATTAAGTTCTAGAGAGGAAAAACTGGGAGAAAGTGAGGGAAGCGGTGGCACTGTCCAAAGAGAAAGGTACTAATACCTGACTTACATAACTGTACACCTCTGTACATCACCTTTGTAATATTATTTTTTTTCTGCCAGTTCTGAGGCTTGAACTTAGGGCCTGGGCACTGTCCCTGAGCTTCTTTGCTCAAGGATAGCACTCTACCACTCGAGCCACAACGTCACTTCTGGCCTTTTCTGTTTATATAGTACTAAGGAATTGACTGCAGGGCTTTATGCATGCTAGGCAAGCACTACCACTAAGCCACATTCCCAGCCCAATAATAAATTCTGAACAAAAGGAAAAGCAGAGTAGGTTTATATCTTGCCATACACTTAAGAATATAGTTAACCAGGGGCTGGGAAGGTTGCCTTAGTGGTAGAATGCTTGCCTAGAATGCATGAAGCCTGGGTTCAATTCCTCAGTACCACGTAAACAGAAAAAGCTGGAAGTAGTGCTATGGCTTAAGTGGTAGAGTGCTAGCTTTGAGCAAAAGAACATCAGGGACAGTGTCCAGGATTGGCAAAAAAATTTAAAAATGAACCAGCTAGACACTGGTGACTCATGCCTACCTAGCTACTTAGGAAGCTGAGATCTAAGAATCTTACAATTTCAAGCTAGTCCAAACTATGAGACTCTTATCTCCAATTAATCAGAAAAGCCAGAAGTGAATGTGTGGCTCAAGAGGTAACAAAAAAGCCAAGCAAGAGCTCAAGACTCTGAGTTCAAGCTCTAGGAAATAAAGAGAAAAAAAAAGAGACAGAGAAAAAAAAGTTAACCAAAGAATTAAACATTAGAGAATGTATTCACAGGAAAATAAAAACTCTAGATAGAAGGGTTCTTAGGGCCGGGCGCTGGTGGCTCACGCCTGTCATCCTAGCTACTCAGGAGGCTGAGATCTGAGGATCGCGGTTCAAAGCCAGCCTGGGCAGGAAAGACTGTGAGACTCCTATCTCCAATAAACCACCAGAAAACCGGAAGTGGCACTGTAGCTCAAGTGGTAGAGCGCTCGCCTTGAGCTGATAGAGCTGAGGGATAGTGCCCAGGGCCCAGAGTTCAAGCCCCACGACAGACCAAAAAAAAAAAAGAAGGGTTCTTAGGGCCTTCATGTTAAGAACAGCATAGTGCAACTGGTAATCAAAAGATGGTTTGAGAGAGAGAGAGAGAGAGACTATTTTTTTTGGGGGGGGAGGGTCGTGGGGGTTGAGCTCTGGGCCTGGGCACTGACCCTCAGCTCTTCAGCTCAAGGCTAGCACCCTACTACTTGAGCCATATCGCCACTTCCAGCTTTTTTTCCTGCTTATGTGGTGCTGAACAATTGAACCCAGGGCCCCATGTATATGAAGGAAGCAATCTACTACTGAGCTAACTTTCCAGGCCTAGATAGTATATTTTAAACAGCACCCAAATTTTAAAAATTTTAAGATTTCATGAAAAACTTTAGATTATGGATTTTCTCGAAAAACTGGAAACAATCCTGGGTTCAGCTAAAGAACTGTCTTTACTTTAAAAAAAGAAAGAAAAAAAAGAAAGGACACATTTGCAACAATGTTCTAAAGTTTTGAATGGTAACACTTAGTAGAGATTACTAACTAGATTTTAACTCCACTTTTCTCCTTTGTTGTGGTGCCTGGGGATTGAAACCAAGGAGCCCACCCCCCTACCCCCTTTACTTACACACACACACACACACACACCTCTAACACTAAACTGCTTTCTGCTATAGGTTAGTCAAACAGCCACCTCCTTTAAATACGGCAAGTAGTTTGCATAATGTCCTCTAGGCATCTTAAGTTTATCATTTCTGGTGACTAGTTAAAACCAAGGTAGCCTAAATACAGTCCCAAATATTTTGGAAGCTAAAGTAGAAGGACCATTTGAACTCTGGAGTTTGAGGACAGCCTATCAACAGAATTCCACTCAAAAACAAACAAAAAAAGAAACAGAAACAGCTGAGTGCCATTGGCTCATGCCTATAATGTATTCAGGGGGCTGAGATTTCAGGATCATGGCTGGATCCAGTCTGGGCAGGAAAGTCTGTGCGACTCTTAGCTCCACTCAACCACCAAAAAACCAGAAGTGGAGCCATGGCTCAAAGTAATGGAGTGCTAGCAGAGGGGGTGGGAGTGGGGTGGGGTCTGTGGGAGAGACTGATAGGAGAGGGGGAGAGGGGGAGAGGGAGAGAGGGAAAGGGAGAGGGAGAGAGGGAAAGGGAGAGGGAGAGAGGGAAAGGGAGAGGGAGAAAGAGAGACACCTAGGACAGCACTCAGGCCCCACAACCAACAAACAAAAAAGTCAAAACATCTAATGTTTAAAAGAAAATACTGCCAGGAATTATTTCCAATTAGTTCACTGTGTCATCTTTAAAACAAATTTCCATTTATTTCATTGCAGCCATTCTTACACTACCAGAATCCCCAGATCTTAGACCTAGATTTATTTTACTTAAATCTAGATCTTACATAGTCATAAAGCCCTGGATTAGAGACATGTAACCCCACACCCCACTAAGTCAGATAGTGCTTTGCTACCAATTCCAAGACCTGTGTTTGTGTCAGGCTGCATCATCCATATGTTTTTTTTTTGTTGTTGTTGTTTTTGGGTCTGGTCATGGGGCCTAAACTCTGGGCCTGGGCGCTGTCCCTCAGCTCTTCAGCTCAAGGTTAGCGCTCTACCACTTGACCCACAGCGCCACTTCCGGCGTTTTTCTTTTTTGCTTATGTGGTGCTGAGGAATCGAACCCAGGGCCTCAGGCATGCAAGGCAAGCACTCTACCACTGAGCCACCTTCCCAGCCTCCATTCATATGTTTGTTATTGTTGTTTTTTTTTTTTCTTTTTTCCAGGCTTGAACTCTGGGCCTAGGCATGCTCAAGGCTAATGCTCTACTACTTTGAACCACAATACCACTTCCAATTTTCTGGTGGTTAACTGGAGATGAGACTCACAGATATTCCTGCCCAGGCTGGCTTTGAACCAGGATCCTCAATTCTCAGCCTCCTAAATGTCTAGGATTACAGGTGTGAACCACCAGTGCCCAACAGAAGTTATAATCTTAAAAGGAGGTAAGACGATTTTAAATGAGAAGTGGTTAAGTATTATGAGTTCTGAGGCAGTTGACAGAAACTAGAAGGCAGAGGTAGCCTATAAACGAAGATCTAAAGAACTGAAGAAAAAAATCAATCCAGGAAAAGCAACAAAGAGGAAACAATATCCACTAGTGTCTCAAACCACAATTTTTTTTTTGGGGGGGGGAGGGGGTCAGTCGTGGGGCTTCAACTCTGGGCCTGGGTGCTGTCCCTGAGCTCTTCAGCTCAAGGAGAGCACTCTACCACTTGGGCCACAGTGCCACTTCTGATTTTCTGGTGGTTTATTTCCTGCCCAGGCTGGCTAGAACTGTGATCTTCAAATCTCAGCCTCCTGAGTAGCTAGGATTACAGGCATGAGCCACCGGCACCTGGCTAGAATTTATTTTCTTTTTGGCAAGACTGGGGTTTGAACACAGGGCCTTGAGCTTGCTAGACAGGTGTGGTGCTTTACTATTTGATTCATTCCTCAGGCCCTCAAATTATATTTCTTTTAATGGAAAATATTCCTATAATACAGTAGCAATTGTAGTTTACATCCTTAATAACTAAAAGCAGCCTAAATTCAGCTAGCCTATTCATACTTTGCAAAATAAAGTCAAGATTTTTTTTTGGGGGGGGGGGTCAGTTGTGGGCCTGAACTCTGGGCCTGGGCACTGTCCCTCAGCTCTTCAGCTCAAGGCTAGCACTCTACCACTTGAGCCACAGCGCCACTTCCGGCTTTCTTTTTGCTTATGTGGTACTGAGGAATCTAACCCAGGGCCTTATGCATGCAAGGCAAGCGCTCTGCCACTGAGCCACCTTCCTAGCCCCCCACTTTTTAATTTAAAGAATGAGTCTTTAAATTTGCTTTTTAAATTAAGGTTTCAAATTGTTAACTATCAAATAAGTAGAGTAGGAGCAGAGCTGTGGCTCAAGTGGTAGAACACTAGCCTTCAGCAAGAAAAGGCTAAGGGACAGCATCCAAGACCCTGGGTTCAAGCCCACTACCGACAAAAAAAACAAGAGGGAAAAAAGAGAGGTGATGGTGATAACTAGAAAATATGTACTGACAAAAATAAGATGAATCCAGGTGCTGGTGGCTCACATTTGTAATCCTAAGAACTCTAGAGGCTGAGATCTGAAGATCACAGTTTGAATAAAGTCTTTGACTCTTTAATAAACCACCGAGAGTCAGAAACGGAGCTATAGCTCAAGTGGTAGAGTGCCCAAAAGCTCAGGACAGCATTCAGGCCCTGAGTTCAAGCCCCAGCCTGTGTGTGCTCACTTGCATGCATGTGCACACACGCACATGCACACACACACAAATGAGTCTTATATCATTCATTTTAGAACAAACTCAACTAATAACTTCTACACTGAGATATGAAAACCTGCATTGTTTCTACAAATAATCTAGACAAAGTTAATATATTACCTGTGCTTATGGTTCATTACTTACTTGAATTAGTTATGGCAGAAATGCATTATTTTATTACAAATACTGACCTCTATCAGAATCACGAGTCATTAATGTGTAGTTAACAACAAAGATCAAACCTTAAATAGTTTTGCTTTTCACTGTAAACAAAATAACAAAAAAAAAATCTGATTGGTTCCTCAAATATGTCTAACACTTACTTAATAGTGGTGGTCATACTCTGTGCTTGCTGTTGAGTGCCATTATTGATTGTGTTGGTGTTTTTCAACTGGTTCATCTGTTGCTGGGTCGGTGTGCCCCCTCCTCCAGGGCCACCACTGGGCTTCACAGGGCCCCTCAGCTGACCATTTTGACTGGACAGACCCATTATAACAGGGTTCTCTGTTCTGGCCGTGCTCATGCTGTGTTAATTGCAAAGGTGTCTCTTTCAAACTTCAAAACTTTGAAAGTCAGTAGAGAAACTGTAATAACAGTTTATTAGGCTCTCCAAAACGAAGAGATAAATAGAAGTCTTGCTCAATAGATGAGTCCTTTATTGCAATGCAGGCAAGCACCTGTAAGTCTCTGGACGGTGGTAAGCAGCAGTAACTTGCTCTCATGCACCGAATCAGCCTATTTTTTTAAGCCCTCCAACAAGCTTGAATTATATCTGAGTTCACTCACTTCAATCTGAAACAAAGAAAAAATTATGAAAGCAACCTAGAGACAATTCAGTAGAAAGATTCATAAGTTAACATTTTTGTCAAATAACAATCTGCTCCATTCTGTCTCCTCCCTGGTGAACCCTCTAATCTCTACCTGGTCTAAAATCCAATGACTTAATTACAACTTTAATTACAACTCAATGAAATGTCACTCAACTTACTAATGTAAATCAAAATTTGGACAAAGTGGGACAAATTTTTTTTTTCTATTTCTGACAGCAACCAAGAATCTTTGGAAGCTAAATGAGCTTTTGAAAACATTGTACTTTCAAAAAACCCACCTATTTCCTTATCTGACTTCAACTAAATTGTTAAGAAAAAAAGGCATTTTTTTCTCCCTTAAATTTTTGTCCATTAAAACGACAGTCTCATACAGTAATGACTTGTCTAATACCTTGTTTGAAAAACAGATGAAAACTTTTGCTACCTTCAAACTTGAATGCCACAACTATTAGACACTTTCAAACATCATTTTTCAAAAAATACACATATATGGGGGGGAAGGGGGAGGCTGGGAAGGGATGTGAAGGGTAAACCAAAGGAGGAGGCTGCAATGCTTGGTAAGAAATGTACGCATTATCCTGCCCATGTAATTGTAACCCCTCTGTACAGTATGTTCACAAATAAAAAATTAATTAATTAATTTAAAAAAATACACATATACTTAAAACACCACTACTCAAAAAAAAACTATTAACTTTAATATAACTTTTCTAAGCACTCAGAACATTCAATCTAATTAACAATAGCTCTTTAAAAATAAACAAAACTGGTCAATCTTCATTTTAAAGTTGTTTCCTCAATCGACTTAATTTGTATAAACAAAAAAATGACAAACATCAGAAAAGATTAGGTCCAACTCCATTTGGCTTATTATTATATTTTGGGTTTTTTTTTTTGGTCGGTCGTGGGGCCTGAACTCTGGGCCTGGGCGCTGTCCCTCAACTCTTCAGCTCAAGGCTAGCACTCTACCACTTGAGCCACAGCACCACTTCCAGCTTTTTCTGTTTATGTGGTGCTGAGGAATCGAACACCCAGGGCCTCATGCATGCAAGGCAAGCGCTCTACCACTGAGCCACCTTCCCAGCTTCCCATTTGACTTATTATTTAACCAACCCGTACACTGCTTTCCCAAAATACAGTAACTTTATGATCAGTGATTATTTTGCCGCATACAAAGACATCTCAAGTTCAAAATTCTGATATCTGGTATCTCAAAAACCGCCAGAAACATCTTCCTTTATAAAGAAAAAAATGTGAACACCAATTTTCTCCCAAACCAAATCCTGATGCTCACATACACAAAGCTGTTTGCTTTGACCTCGGTGTTATCCACCTCCGGAGCAGGACTGATTAACAGCTACTCTTCCGTCTTAGTAAGGTTACATGATGGCCAATAATAATAGCGCATACTTCACACCGGAGGACTTGTTTGCAAAACACTACGGAAGAGTGCACTCTCCAAAAGACTACCGGAGAGCACCAGCAGGGTCGACCCTGCGCCGTCGGACCCCAGTCCTGGACACCCCTCCCTCCTTATTAAACCGACACCTGCCCGGCAGCCCGCGACTCCGCCGGGGACGAGCCCCGCCTCCCCCTGCCCAATTCGGCGCTGCCAGCTCCCCTTCCACACGCACACAGCGAGCGAGCCCGGGCGGCGGAGCGGGGCCGGGGCCCCGGCGGAGTTCATTACCGCCACTTCCGAGCGCCTCGTTAGCTCGCATGACAGCTTCGCACCCCAACCGTCTCGTCACCTCCAACTACAGCTTTTGTGTGCAAATGCGGCGCAGTTTCGCGCGGCTCGGGGCTGAAAGGGGGTTTCCTCCGAAGGATAGAAGGGGGTCAAGGGAGGAGGAGGAGACGACGGGGACCCCGGACCTTGGGGCGGCCCCTCCCGGCTGCCCCTCCGGGTCGGCTCCGGGCACGAAAAGGGCTGGAGCCCCCGCAATCCTATCTGCGCCACAACAGCCGGAACCAGCTCTGCCCGGAGCAAACAAAGGGGCTCCCCTCCCAGGCCCCGGACAGCGCCCCCCGCAACCCGCAGTCGCCTCCCTCCGTCCCCAGACTGGGGGCTCCGCCAACCCCCCCCCTTCCCGGCCCACGAGGCCTACAGCAGCCAGGCGGCCGCCCGAGCGAGCCCGGCCGCCCGCAGGGGCCGCCCGCACCCTATCACCTCCTCCATCGCCACCGCCTCCCCCGGCTCC